AGTACGCCGGTACGCAGTACCGACGCGTCGTTGCCGCGCAACCACCGGTCGCACGTGGGCTAAGGTTACTGCGAGGGTCGCCCTGTCCATACGAACTCGCGCCGTCGGATTACATAACAGGCTTGTTACGTTTAGGCTACGCGCCGGCTCTGAGCCATAGAGGCTCGAAAATGGTCGTGAACTTGCTTCAACCAATGACAGTTTGTACACTTACAGTTTTACGGTCAATGTGTAGGAGGATTGTATAAACCAATGAAGTCGTCTCCTATGTACCTAGTTTGTTTTCTCGCAAGAGTGTTCCTTGTTGACGTCTTTTGACATCTGCCTTGAGTCGAAAGTTTGGAGTTTGAGGTCGGCACTTTTCGCGATACGCAACAACACTCACATCCTCCTTCAGTTTCTTAGGCTTTCTGGACTAGTACCTCTTCTGAAGTGGTCATTTCTCGCTCAACGCACCAAACATGGCCCCTTTATCAGCCCTAGCCTCCAACATTTTAGTCACAAATCTTCATTTCCTGCCTAACTAATTCCCCGTTTCGACTAGCGTTTCTAACATTTATTGATAACCACAGCTTCCGAAGTTGTCTTGCTTCAAGACTCTTCAAGAAATATCTCCACTTTATTTTTATTTCTGCTTCTCGTCCTTCGGTCTCCGTTGGTGTCACTCCATGTTGCTTAACTCTTTTGCTAAAGCATGACTTATGCACCGGGCTTGCCTCTGGATGCTCCTACTAATGTCTGTCGTATGCTGCCAGAATCTCGGTCCACAACGGACTCCCTTCCCCTTGCCTAACTCTTCTTACTGACTACTATGCTTCTGAACCGGTCGTCTCTCTAGACCCTCCAAAAACGATTTGATTAATCCATCGCATCAGCCTCTCCTGCTTCAGTTCTCGAAAGACCCGTTCCCCATTCTGATTAGCCTTCCCAAAGTTTTGGGACAACTCCGGCTAATGGAGTACACATGGCTCTCGACTCTCCTACAAAGGTCTTCGCTTTGTCTTAATATAAACCTCTGAAACATTGGTCCTCGACAGACTTATTACCTCTTACTTCACATACGTGTACTTACTGGACAAGTACGGCTACCGACGTGGTCTTATCTTCCTACCTACCGAAAAGAAGCCTTCCTCTTAGTAAGCCAGATAGATTTACTTGAGCCATGTGCTATTGCACATTAGCCAGGCATGTACTAATTCCACTCTCCCCTTTATCCGTGATATGTTTGACTGTTTAGTATATGCGGGCGTCTCAATCCACTAAAGACGCTGCATTGCTCAACTTGCACTAGCTCTCAACTCTTAGCTTGCGAGGATGGCTTAATTGGTCCACGTGCAGCTGCGCTTAAGACTCACGTGTCCATGTGTTCATTTATCCTTTACCTACCACCCCTACTTTGACACTTTATCTAATACGAGTATCCAACTTTGTCGTTGGCTTTCCTTAACTATTTTAGCTCTCTTCTCCTGGAACGCTATGACGCTTCATGACTGCGTTCAGCTGCGCTTTAGCCTCATATGCGCTGACTTGTTCAACAGTTTAATAAGCAATAAGTGTCTTCTTGAATCTGCGACATCTGTGGCGTCGAAAGTGGTTTCCTTCGGTCTGAAAGGCAGTGTTTACAAGGCTACAGGGATTGCCATCCTGCTCCACGTGAGTGGGATTCGGCCTCTTCGATATGAGACGCTTGCACTTCTTTGATCATCGTTGTCTGCGAAGTATTGCTTGTGTCGGATGGTACCAACGTGTCCGCAACCAAGATGTGCGTAGGCGAGTGCGATGCCGTGATCAACGAGCTAGTTTTTAGTACAACGTATAGCACTGAATATGCTGCTTTGGCTTGAGAACGTGTTACGTATGCTCGGTCACCGTTTGCTCTGGAGGGCCTTGTTTCCTTTGCCATGTGTTGGATGGTGCAAGGCTCGAAGTTTGCAAAAGTTAACATAGCAGAAGGAAATGCAATCATTTAATGCAAAACTTTGTGCTATTGGTCTCTTCCGCCTTCCAGGCTATGGTCGACGTGACCCAACCTGTGCTTGACTTGAGGCGTTGCAAGACATAGCTGGCAGTCGGCTGTAGGGAACTTTTTGCAGTCGTTTCGTAGTCAGGCTGCGTATTTAAGGTGTGCTTGGTGTTGTTATCTGCAGGTTAATGACTGATTAAAACGCGGAGCATGGAAAGCCACAACGAACCTGTCTGGACAATGCTACCTCATCTTCCCACGATAGCTACCTGTTTGTGATGGTATGTTGTTGTGAAGTTGTCGGCACCTTGACCATGAATGTTTGTTTGAAGAATTAAGGATTTTCACTGCATCCCTCTTCTTTCCTTGTTAGTATACATCGTTCCTCATGCTGTTTTGGTTTTTCGGCAGCGAACTTACGGCAACCTGTTGCCGCGCTTCAATATCTCCAGTGGTGTAACACGATGCCCGGTGTCACCTTCACTCTTCAAATTCGCTTTTGATGAAGTCATGGGGATCGCGTTCACACGACACGACCTCGAAGGTGTGGAGCTGCTTCCACATGAATGAATTCTTGACTTGGAGTAGGCTGACGACATCACTCTCATATGTGACAGCTCTCAGACGTGCCAAATAGCACTGGACAGATTAGCACTGGCTGTCAGCCGCTTCGAGCTGTGCTTTGCACCTTCGAAGTGCAAAGCTTTTCTCCAAGATTGTCAAGGACTGCCTCCTGCGCTGACCCTAGGTGAAGATCAGCTAGAAAACGTTCAAAAGTTCAACCACATAGGCAGTTGTATCAGCACCTGTGCAATTGTAGCCGAGGTCACAAACCGTATAGCAAAAGCACGTGGCGCTTTTGCTAACTTTCGCCAGCTATGGCGCTGGCGCGACATTGCTCTCTCTCTTTGAAGAACAGTGTAAATGCAGACGTACGTTCAACCGTTCTGTACGTTTTGTGAAACCTGGCCGACATAAAGAGGCTAGTTACCTTTGACCACCGGTGGCTTCGTAGTTTGGCTCACATCTGGTGGGAACACTGTGTGAGCAATGAGCGTATTTGATGCCTTGTTTATGGCGTAGAAAGAAGAAGCGAACCCCTCAGCACTTTTTTTTTCATGCACCCGGCTCCGCTGGCTGGGCCATGTGTTGCACATGCCAATCCGCCGGATCCCTCGACGTGCATCGCTTGCGTGCCGGGTGTGCAGATGGCCAGGCGATGACTTGGTCACGAGGAATGGACGCCCTTCGTTCGAAGTTTGCCTCGGTTGAAGCCTCTAGGCTTCACAGTAGCTGGTTTTTAACTCTTCGGAACGGTGCCCATCCTTTACTGGTGACTCAGGATTCGTGCTTTTGTTGCATGTTTTTTCTTTACGTTTGTATTGCGACGTAATAGTTGAGGTGTATTCCACCTCCAACTAGCGTGTAAAATGACGATATAATGATAGGCAAAGCCAGTAACAGAGCTGGACACCCGTATTAGAGGAAGTGTCAAAGTAATGGTGGTTGATAAAGGATAAATGGACATCTGGACAAGTGAGTCTAAACCACAGTGACATATGGACCAATTAAGGCGTTGTGGTTTGCTTATTTTGCATGTTTTTTTCTTGTCTTTTGTATTGCGGCAAAGTAGCTGAGATGTTCACTACCTGCTGCTAATGGGTATAATGAATGATAGAGGACAGCGAATGATCAGTTCCAACGACTTATGTATCCCTGTTTATGTTGTTTGTTGTGGTTATGGAGACTGCGTGATCTCGGCCTGCCAGCGGAAGGTCGAGTGTATACCGCTGCGATTTGGTTGGTGTTAATGGATCAGAGACCTTGCCATTTCGCAAGAAAGGCATTAGCTTTTTACCGTGTTTATTCACCTATACTTCAGCAGTATTGCTCAATTCTGATGGGAAAACTGTGTGAGGAATGTCTTGTTCCACCAGTTCGTGTTTGGCAATATGCATTCATTCCAGTGTTTGTTGGATCTTAACCGCACATGTTTTCTGGGTCGTGTCGTCCTATACCCCTTGACCGACCTCCCTGATGTGCTTGGATGAAGAAACTGACTGCGAGACGTAGGCTGGTGCATGCCGTCTTCGTGGATGTAGCTCTGTGATGGTCCACGCCAGTTATTGGAGACCCTATCACAGATAGCGCAGTTGCGCTGTCATTGGCGTTCTGGCTTTCGATCTCTTCCATGTAACCTTTAATCTTCACACCATCCAGCTTAGTCTCACGTTCTTTCTCCTTGCTTACATCTTTACATTATATTTCCATTCCTCACCATTTTCTTGCCATTGTTATTTATTGGTATTAGAGCGACGTGAGTTGTGACGACTGGATCTACTTCACTTCGGTGCCATGATCATAGTTGTTGCATTGAGGACAGGTGTCTTTCGAACTCCGGTTATTTTCTTTGGACAGTTCGGTTGTGCGGGATATCGTTATCGTCAGTTAATTTTGTTGCTTTTTCGGTTTAGCGGAGCGGCTGTCTCACGTATATAGGCTTGCCATATCCGCCTTGCTACCAGTGACAACTTTTCCAATAATAGACAATGTGGCTGTTAAGTATCGAGACGACTTTTTATCTATAGTGTGTACTTTGGTCCCATTTATTGGATGACAATGACGTCGATATGACGCGTCGCTATGTATGGAAGGATGACTGAGTGCTGCGGGCCAGAGCGGTTTGTAGATCCAATGGCGATGCCGTGTGTGGTTGGACGCTCACTGTCTATTTTAACAACTGCAACCTAAAGTTCTACTTTTCGCATTAATCACCAGAGTAGAATAAAGTGATAATTTTAGTTGTATGTTACACAACATACGTAAGCCGAAGAAATCTCTAGACTGTTACACCGATGTGTGTCAACTGCATGTGTGTTCAATTGGTCTTTATACTCATCGGCATTCTCACCACTGTTTTATTCTTATGACCTCCTTTGTCACTCTTTTCTAACGTGTTATTTTTACTCATTGGTTTTGACTTGTTTTCAGACATGTAGCCCATACATGATGGCATCATACGTTCCTGTGCGATTGAATGGATCTAATATTCCACGAAAATATACCATGGGACGTGATCACTGATCAGCTCCCAGGTTGTCAGTGTGATACCGTGTGTTCCCAAGCGTGCCCCTGCATTGCAAACTCTGGCGCAACCTACACGAAGGACGGTCGTCTACTTTGTTACGATGGGCCACTGTTTGAATGTAACTCGGTTTGCACATGCAGCGGGGCTTGTTCCCACCGTCTGGTCCAACACTCACTTTCCAGTAACATTGTACCGGTCTACTCCGTTGCGGAACGGCCAATCGTGGGTCAGTGTCTGATTGCCGCACGAGATCTGGATGTTGGCGAATTCATTTGCGTTTACTTCGGTGAAGTCATCCCTTATGAAGAGGCTTGTCGACGGGAAGAACAGCAGCTGGAAACATTTGGAAGAAATTACATTCTGATTATGCAGATATTTGCTGGGGAAACGTTGGCTTCTCGGACTTGCATCGATGGTGACGTCGAAGGGCCGGATAGTACCAAGCCCGTTGGCCGTTTAGTCAACCATTCTTGTGAACCAAACTTGAAAGTTGTCCCTGTTCATGTGGACAGTGCCATTCCTTACGCAGCCATGTTTACCACCAAGAATATTGCAGTAGGAGCCGAATTGACATATGACTACGCCGATTGCGTTCCAGGGGACAAGCGGCAGTTTTCCAGTGTGCGATGCCTATGTGGATCGAAACGCTGCCATGGTTATCTACCGAGCGTTCAATAGGGCTTTATTTTGTCATTTTCTAATTTTTGGTATGGATGTAATGACAATTTTTACGAACAGTTTTTTTATGTACATCATTAATAGTCTGAACTTGCTACCACTTAGTATTCTTCTCGTTCCTATAAACTATTAACTGGTCGAGATTTCCCATAGTTAATACCGCACCATATAAACAGTGGCGTTGATTTTTTTGCCTTGCTTTCCATCCAGCAGTTTGTTTCAATGCATTTGTTAGATTGTTCAACTCAGCGATTCTGCACTGTCTGACTGGGTAACACATGTAGGTCATTTTATAACATATGTTTTTGGCTACCTCGTGCTTTTGTACTCAGAATACTACTCTGTCATCACCAATTTCACGTTCATTTAGCTTGGAGATTTATACACACCCACTCGTCATATTTTCCATAAGAATCAGGGAATCGCGTGCTTGGGTCCTTGCTCGCCGCAATGCACACTCACCTGTATGGTAACATCTTGTCCCACTACGTCTTTTAAGCGCCCGCCTACATGGATACCTACTGTTCCATCGATGTTCTAACACTGAACTTGTACGGTACTTGTTGTAATGTCTGTCTTGGGATCCAATTTAAATGTCCCACGCACAGACGAAGAATCCTTCACTCCGCGCGCAATCAGCTTGTGGTGGATATGGTGCAAGTTACTCCAAAGGGTCGATTGCTAACAGCATCAAGCAGGTGGCGCTCCTTAGTCATGACATTTTCTTCGCTGATGCACAGTCTTTGTGTGCAGTTGGAAACTGAATTAGTGGAAAAGTAAATCTGCATCCATGACAATCGTACTCTAACACGCCTCCAAAGACGGATTAACACTATAATATTGGGCGCCCGCTACCAGTAAAACGGCTTCTTGAAGGATACTCTGCTCTTACTTCCATGGAGATTACTTCGTCTAATTCACGGGAAATGTGAGTAATCCCACACTCAGTGGCGCCATTACAATCCACACTGGGAGAGACGGTGGCGAGTTGTCTTCTGTTCTGTGCGCGTCTTTTCACCGAGCATACTTCCCTGCAGTCGGCGTGACGAAGGCAGCGTCATTACTTCGGGTTAAGTCAAACCAAGTTTTATACATCCGAATAGTTGTTTTTTAACATTGCTTTGCCTAATAGTGGTAGGTGCATATTCCAAAGACAGGTTAGCTTCCTCCATTTTCAACCGAGTCAAGTTGAATTACTCAGACTTTGTTGTAGCATTAGCACTCAATGCATGTGCACACGTCACCGGGTGCAATCGGAATTTCACCAACCTTTTGCATGTATCCATCGAAATTGCATATGCATATTTGTGCACTGAGTTGTGCACTTCGCACTGATCCCAGATTTACTCGTATGTGCGCTCCTATATATTTTGTAGTCATGCCTACTACCTGAAAACACGACCTCCTTCATCAACATTTGTGCAAGTTTAGTGGGGCTAGCTTATCTCCCACATGCAGCCGAATGAATGACAACGATAGGGCACTTGCTTTCTGTTCCTTTTGTGTTCCACATCCCCTCTTAGGTATCTTTCCGTAAACTAAAAAGCGCAGCTGCTATACTCTTGAAGTTATGTGAAATGTATCGAAGTCATAATTGTGCCTTATACCCCCATCGCCAATGCTACCTTTTGTCCCAGGCTTCTCGAACTTCTTGGTCACTTTTCACCTAAGCACCGAAATAGATAGGACAGGTGATTATGCTTACGCGCACACTTGATACTGTTTGTGTTAACCTGTGCTGCGTCAATGAAATCCAACTTCACGACTCCCACGGGACGATAGCAATATGCAACCTTCTATTCCACAAGTGTGGGGCTGGGAATCGTTCCGACCTTCAGGATTGTTATCAGGCTCATCCTCAGTTTACAGTGTTTGTCGTACGATGACAGGTGCGAGACTGTAACTTTACACCCTGTCCTATCGTAAGATGTTAGTCGACCACATAATGACCTACTGTATTCTGTATCTATTTGACTTCCCCATGCTGAGGCCACTGCTCTACTTGTAAACCTCCTGTAGTACATGCGGACACTGGTATACATTTGTGCTTTGAACGGCAAGTGGTCATTGTCGGAGCATATAGTGGGAGTAAACTCAGTGTGGCAGTTCAAAAAATTGTTGGATGAATCTTTTTCGTTTTATATTCCATAAACGCTTACCCGCTGACCGCGATATATCACATCTGTGAGTTTCAAGTCATTGCGAGTTATGCGTTTTTTTACAATATCACGTGATAACTTGATTATTGGTCAGTGTTGACAAGCCATTGATAGCTTTCGTTTCTTATACCTTTTTGTTCACCTTTCGATGGAGCTGTACTTATTTAAATTTTTACCTGCTCACATACTACGATATTCAGTATCGTGTACATCTGTTGGTTCTATCCAGCATACTGAGTTCAAACTGCCTCATTCTACGGCTCCTTCAGATTTTGCTAGTCCTGTCCACAACGCTGGCTCGCGGACTTAAAGGTCACAAGCCTGCGTTGTGATCCGAAGGCGCAGGTTCGAGCCTGCGTGGGAGACTGGGCAACCCTCGCAAAATCCTTAACTCACGCTCGACTGGTGGTGGTTGCGCGGCAGTGAAGCGTCGGTACTGCGTACTGTTGGTGACTTTCTTTCCACAGCGCTAAGGTGGGCATTTGAGTGTGTTACACGGTGACGATATGGCGTAGATTCGGGCACGTGTTTCATGTGCCCACTCACTGTCTCAGCAAGGCAGTAACGTTTCAGTGACCATAGCAGGATAAACCAACGTTTTTTTCGTCACACGGATCAGATTCAGTGGCTCAATTTGTTAGAAAAATAGGTCCATATTGGGGGAAAGCAAGTGAGCAGGGACATTTTGGCATGCTCAGCGTTTGTGGCAGGTAATTTGCTCGCTTTACCGACGGGGAATTGTTTGCTTGATCAGTTCTAGGATGGTAGCTTGCTGCATCAGTCACCACTGTGAGCAAATAAGTGGCACGTGTTTTCTCGTTGCGTTCTCTCTGACGTAGCATTGGGCGGATTTCGGTAGCTTAACTCTAGTACCCTTTCCTTTTTCGAGAATTCCACTCCCGATCAAATTGTAGTTAAAGAAAATAGTGCTCATCCTATCTTGTACTAGAATAGACTTGCATCGTTTGAGTGAACCGGAATGCTTCAACTAACAGTGAATACTGTATTATGGGAGCAAGTATCAATTTGAATCCGTACAATTTCATCAAAATTCGATCAAAAGCGTCAAATAAGCAAACTATAATTAACTTGTCAACACCCTGCTCGTTTGCACGTCATATCGTAACAAGTGTAACTCACGGTATATTGGAACTCACAAATGTGTGATGTCATTGGATAATCGTTTATGGAATCTAACCTTGGAGAGCTGCACGTCCAACAATCTTTTGAACTGCTGTACTAAGTTTCCTTCCACTATATGCTCCGGTACACTGTTCCGAACATTGTCTAACCCCGTTCGAAGCATGGGTGGATAGGGACCTCGTTTCAGTGGGGGCACCACAAACTTGTACCGGTGTCCGCATGTGCTACAGGGTGTTCGCGAGCGTAACAGCGGTCCCACCATAGGGAAGTCACCTAGATGCAGATTGCAGTAGCTCATGGTAAGATCAACTAACACTTGACGGTAAGACCGGGTATAAAGTCCCAGTATCGTCCCCGTCTTCGTACGGTAAGCTCCTAAAATGAGACGAGCCTGGTAGCCACGTGTAGAACCCGTTCGATCTGTGCCTCGCATCGAGTGGTCGAGCCATAAGTGCACGAGCAGTACCCTAGCATTGAACTTATGAGGTAGGAGAAAAGACGACTGGCAACCACTTCAGTCCAGATGCAGTAGCTTCGTTTGAGCGTCCAGAGTATACTCACTCCGTGAGTGAACACCTGGGTCTTTCACGAAACTTCTGGGATGTAGCAGTTAGCCGTCATCACATCTCCTTAGGCTCATGAATACCGACCTAGATGCGTTGACAGGGAAGCGGACTTCTGCAGACCACATGGAAAGGCGCTTGATATCAAGCTGAAATAGACCACAGTCGTCGGAACTACTTATCGCTCTTCACATCGTCGGGTCGTCTGCAAACATGGCACACGGCGACCGAAGAAGCTGAGGTAGATTGTTGATACACACCAGGGACACCTTGCCTTGGGGCACGCCACTTCTCGAGGGATACCAGTCGATCAGATGGCTATCGATTTGCATCCTCCACTTCCGTCCCACGAAAATACTCGCGGCTCCATTGGTGCAGTGATCTACCGACACCGCACACTCAGCTTGTGGAGGAGGACCTCGTGGTTCAAGCTGTCGAACGCTTTGCTGAAATCGATGTAGATTACGTCGACAGACTTCCTTTAGTTTACTGCTTGCAGCTGTCCATACCTCGTCACGAGCAGGCTGGTGATGCGTGAACGACTAAGGATTAAACCGTGCTGTGTGGGCTTCAGGTCTTTTGACCGGAACTGCTGTAGCATACTCTTCTTCGAAATTTTCCCGGTAACCTTGGTCAAAATAAGTGTCAAACAAATTGGTCTTTTGTTCTCTACTTTACTGGGATCACCGTCTTTCGGAATCGGACTTACCACCGAGTATTTCCAACTAATCGGTACGAACCTTCGGACAGTGACTTATTGTACTGGTTACGGCAGGTGAGATGTTGGTCATTATGGACTTATGAATAAGATCCAGTAGGCTTGGTGCCGCCAACGCTGGCGAGTAGTTGACGTATCTCTTTCACACCACAGTCTTGACTGCCGAGTTCGATAAGGACGGTGCACGCCAAACTCGGCACATACACATGGTCTTTTGCAAACACCGAAGTGAAGTGCGCCGCCAATGCGGACGTACGCTCAATGCTGGCGGTTAGGGGCTATCCTTCCGCGTCCTCTATCACTGGTAGGTCACCTATCGGCTTCAGGCGCCGCCTTTCTTGCCTGATGCTTTTTTTCGGGGCGGTCTTTGTTGCGGTTTCGGGTTGCTCTTCAAATTGGCGGCGCTTGCTCGTTTTC